TAGTATACCTACTATCAAGTGATGAACAAGTGGGACTTAATATTGCAGCTTATCAGCATTTTGTTAAAAGATATACTTTTATTGGAAAGGCAGGTTTACAGAGAAGGAGGGACAGAGAGGAAGATTTTTCATCTGCTGGGTTATACCCCAAATGGCCACACTGGCTAGAACTGAGCTGATCCTAAGCTAGGAGACAGGAGCCTCTTCCTGGTTTCCTACGTGAGAGCAAGGTCCCAAGGACATGGATCATCCTCTGCTGCCTTCCCAGGTCATAAGCAGGAAGCTGATGGGAAGTGGAGTAGCTGGGTATGAATCTGCATCCAGTTGGGGTGGTGGCAGTTGACGGTAGAAGGATTAGTCTGTTGAGCCACAGCATCAACCCAGATTATCAAGAATTAGAGATAGCAATACTTGATATCCTCTTAAGGAAAACTTGCCTCCAAATTTGAAGCTGGAAAGTAACTGCAGTAACTTAAAAAAAAAAGAATCGTAATGATAAAGATTTTTAAATTTTTAGTATTTAAGAATTATATACAAATTGAAATTATCTGTGTGGTGATTCCTAGCCATAGTAATATCTCAATTATGAGAGAAGAAAAAGATAAAATCTGTGCTGTTACAATTAAGATTGTTTTTGAGCTATAATATTTATTAATTAAAATGAGTTACAATTAATTGGCTAAGTTGTATACATATTTGAAAAGTACAAATATTTTATCCAAATTAATATAAGAAAGGATTAAGTGTTATTTTTCCTGAATGTTTTTATTTTCAAATATTCATTGAATTGTTACCAGGTTGCCTGATAAAACCTACTCTGTTCTTTTACACATGATTGTTAAGGTGCCTTTGAGTGGATCTACTCATCTGTGTTTTTCTGTATTATCTTTGTTCTCCTCCGTTATAGTTACTATTGTTCTTTCCAATGCCTGGCACTCAGGGTGTATTGTTAAGATAAATGTAGTACAGTTACTTTGTTTGTAAATTAGCACCAAATTTGAAAGTTCAAAAGAAATTTCTGTAGTCACTGTTGAGAAGAGAGTGGAGTGGAAAGAAAACTTAAAGAACCCGGTGTGTTCAACAATCTAACATTCTGCAGATAGAGACGCAGTTGGGATCACTGTCTCAAACAGATACAGCAGAGTAGGGACTAATCATGATGATCTTAAGTGATAGGTCAAGAAAACAAAGTTTTAAAATATAATGAAATAATCTAAAAATGATAAGTTCATAGAAGCAAATTCATGGAGGCATAAAATAGTAGTTATTAGGGATAGGGAAGGCCAGAATTGAGGTAGCTGTCAGAGGGCACAAAATATCTGTTAGAAGAAATAGATTCAAGGTTTTGTAAGGATGGCGAGTATAGTTTAAAAAATTGCATTTTGGAAACCACCTAGAAAGCAGATTTTATGTACTCTAGAATAGTGTGTGAGGCAATGTGTATTTTAATTAGCACTTTGGTGGTAATTCCCCAATGTATGCGGATTTCAAAATAGCATGTTATATACTGTAAGATACATATTTCAGTTGTGGATTTAAAGAATAAAACCAATTTGTAATTAGGCTGAAGAATATAATCCTTGTTTTTGGTGCTAATTGTACTTGATTTAATACATACCACTTCTGGATACTTAGTCAAAAATTGGATGAGTCTGCATGATTCATTTTACTTTGTTTTTTGTGTTAACAAGCAGATATTGCCAACTAAATTTTTAGTATAGTAATGAAATTATTAGTATTTCCTGTAAATGTAGACTTTGAGACTTAGTGAAAATGCTATGATTTATAATGTGAGAGAGTTATATCCTTAATGTATTATAGAGTGGTATAAAAATTGTTTTTCCAAAATGGATATTAAAATGTTATTTTCCAAGGGTTAGCACCATAGGTCAACAGGCTAATCCTTCTCTTTAAGTAACAGTTTATGTCCCAGCTGCTCCACCTGAATCTAGCTTCCTCCTTATGGTCTGGGAAAGCAGCAGAGGGTAGTTCAAGTCCTGGGAACCTTGCTCCCTCCTTGGAGACCCAGAAGAAGCTCCTACTTCCTGGCTTCAGATTGGCTCTGCTCTGGCCTTTGTGGCTGTTTGGGGGAGTGAACCAGCAGATGAAAGATCTTTTCCTCTCTTTCTTTCCTCCTCTCTGTAAATTTGGCTTCCCAATAAAAATAAATAAATCTTTTAAAAAATTCATTATCCAAACTTGATAACTAAGCACATAATTACTGACCTAATAGGAGTAATTAGTTTATTATATTTAGTAATGTAATCTTATTCTAGTATTTTATTCTAGACATTTGTTTAAAATTCTTAGGAAATAGATGATGTAGTATTTAATTATAACACTAGGTGGTGGTAATTCACTTTAGAAATTAAATTCCTCAATATACGTATTCCTAGAACTAAAATATTCAGTACTTTTTATGTTTCAGAAACAGAGAAAAAAGGTTTCCAAAACTAAAGTTTCTATTCCTGTTTTGGATGTTTCTCCAGTCAGTTGCTTGCCTTTGAATGATCTAATCCCAAGACTCAGACTTTTTCGTTCTTGAACTTTATACTCATAAAAATTACTGAAGAAACTAAAGAGGTTTACTTACATAAATTAGAAGCAAAAAAAGATAAGCAAGTTTTATGTTATAAATTAAGACAGACATATTTAAAAATATGAAGTGATTTTTAAAATAATAATATGTAAATACTTAAAAAGTTACTGGAAAATGCAATTTGAAAATGTTTGTTTCAGTAAAAAACAGTTTTGAAATCCATTCATACAAGAATCTTCAAGAAGTTCATGAAAGAAAAAGCAAGTAGTGAAAAAAACTATGCCTGATTTTTATCAGTTTTTGCAACAGAATTTTAATCCCATCTTGCCTTGAGTCTTTTGAAGTACCCTTGCATAAACAAGATGTTTATTTTAAAAAATATAAATTTCTGAAACAAAATAACCAGTGGAAAGTGACATCTTCAAATAGTTTTGAAATTTCTTTAATATCTGCCTCATAAGTGCAGGGGCATAGCTGGGCTTTTATTTCTACTTATGAATTCAGTCTGTTATAGTATAGCACATTTAGCTTTGATAAAAGTCTACTGTAAAATTATGAGAAATAAAAAAAGGTAATTATAAAAGTAATTTCTTAAAAGTAATTAAATGACTTTGAAAATCATTTTGGTCTCATGTATCCTGAGAAGAGGGTTGTGTGGACTCAGATGAGTCCACATCACAATCCTTTTATTTTTGTAAGAAGCTAGCAATGAAATACAGATACCTTTGATCAACTTTGACTTACACACCCCTCAAAATTAAACTATCTAGATGTTGTTCCTTAGGATATATACGGCAAAATATATACGGTAGGTTGCTAGTTATTATTCTTAACTATTTAATTGGTTGAGAGACATAATATTCTCACAGAAACATAATCAGATTGTGAAAAGGATACAAACCTATAAGAAGATAGGATCATCATAGTTGCATTTCTGTTACATAATAATCTGTTAACTTTTTATTCTCTATTCTTGGTTCTGTCTTACCCACATTCATAATAATTTTTTACTGTGCTGGTGATTCCCAGATTTCCATATCCAGTCCCAGATTTGCTGTATTTCCAGTTTGTCCCTTTCTTGCTACTATTTCTAAAAGTGCCAACCTCCTCATTTCTCTACAACCGAATACTTTCTTCTTTCTTCACAATATTCCATATCTACTTTTTCCAAATTATTTCTTTTACTTAATTGCTATTTATCAGGTTCCCCAGGCTAAAAATGTCTAAAGAAGCTTTAACAAATTCCTCATTCTTTGATTACATTGGCTTCTCATTCCTGATTATTTCCTCTGCTTTGGGTTCTCTTCTTGCCTTTTTTTGCGGGGCTGGAAAACTCCGACATGTGTTTTAAGATTGAATTCAAATGTTACCACTTCTGTGGATGCTTCTTTTACACTGTAAGCTGTTGCTTTCATACCTTCATGTGTGTTTGTGCGCACGCACATGTGTATGTAATAATTCTTAGGCCTTATAAGACAGAGATCATTTTGTGTCCATCTAGTAAGTAAACTGTTCACAGGGAAGAAGGATGGCACAGAATCTCCTATGCTCCCCATTGTCACATTTCCCTGCTTACTAGCATAGCCATTTGTTTTTCAAAATCAAAGTCAGTTACAATTTTGCAAGAATATTGAATATTGTTTTCTTTATTTTTGCCATGAGTTCCCTGCAGTTCAGAGAAAATATTCTTTTAAAAGTTAATATTGGATATAAATTTTTCCAAATATATTGAATAATCTGAAGTATCAGGTTTACTCACCTTGTCTAATAGCATTTAGATTAAGTAGTAATGCATGAAGAATTGGTGTAACCTGTTAATGAGTGTGTGGGAAATTTTTGTAACAGGAGAACAAATGTCAGGCTTTCCATAGCTGCAGTTCCACAAAGACAAGCACAGCTTTGAGTGGAAGTCGTGCTATAGTAAGGAGCAGGCGTTTGGCCTAGCAGTGAGGTGCTACATCCCATGTTAGAGGCCTGGGCTTCCTGCCCATCTCCAGCTGTTGATTGTGGCTTCCTGCTAATGCAAAGCCTAGATCTCACTGGATCCCGCCTCCTGCAAAGGTTTGGATTGGGTTTCCAGCTTGCAGTTGTGCTCCCTGAGGCTCCCTGGCGTAGTGGGCATTTGAAGGAGTGAAGTGGCTGATGGGAGCACATTGTTGTACTCTTTGTCTTTCTCTGAACCTGTCAAATAAGTAAACACAGATTAGAAAGGTCATGGAAAGAAGAAACTAGAAGATCAATATATTTTGATGCAAAAAAAGTTTGGAATTTGTGCTTAGGGGTCTTCAAAAAATTAGTGTGAAATAATATATTATGAAGACACTATGCACCAAAATAAGCCTGTCATTTAATCTGATTTTTTTTCCCCAGAAATTTTGAATTACCCTTAGGTATATGCATACAAGTACTTTTCAGGTTTATATATATACTAATACAATACTGTGTTTTAATTTTTTTACAGAACTTCTTGGTATACATGAACAAGCATCTGTGGGATTCTTGACATTAATGGAAGCTTTAAGATATTGTAAGGTAAAATAATTTTTGAAGTACTTTGATGTTTTTATTTCCCTGACTAATTCCTGGACATTATTTTTGTCCCTGTTTTAGCTTACTATTACTATATACCCCTCTGTTCATGTCCTTTCAGGTTCTCACCTTAAATAGGTATCTTCTTAAGCGTAGCTAGCAAGCTAGTCGATCATACTCTTTCCTCTGCTAGATCTATTGGTGTTGGGAGTGGGGAGAAGGCTGGCTGAATCCAAAAATTTGTAGAAGAAAAATAAATACATCAATGGCTAAATATAAATAAGTTTTTTGGTTAACTAAGGTAAAAGAAAGGTTTTTTTTTTTTAATGAACAAAAAAATGTGCTTTATCAAAACAACTGATAATACTTTATTAGGTAATGAGATAATTGACTAAAATGCCTGGAATTTGAGCTTTTAACTCTTTCATCTGAAAAATGATTTCACACTAAAATATCCCCAAACATTTCACAACATTAATTTTATAAATTCTTTAACATGTGTGCTGAATTTTGGAATGGCAATAAAGCTTTCATTTTTGCATCCCTGTTGTTTCTGAAATAACCACTGGATAATACTAAACCACCATTGGTTTGCACTTAAGAACATCCCATGATTTTGACAAAGACAGCAATCTAATTTTGTTATTTACTTATTTTTTTAGATATATTTATTCTTGTTTGAAAGGTGGGATTTCTTCAGAGAGAAGGTCTTCCATCTGCTGGTCCAATGGCAGCAAATGGCCAGAGCTCAGCTGGTATGAAGCTGAAAGCCAGGAGCCTCTTTTTGGTCTCCCACCTGGGTGCAGGTTCTCAAGGACGTGACATGAGTCACCCACTGCTGCCATAAGTGGGGGACTGCATCAGGAAGTAAAGCAGCTAGGACACAAACAGGCATCCATCTGTGTCCCTTTAACACAGTACACGTGTGCATGCACACACACGTCCTAAAAGTAGATGTGTATGTACACATGAACTGTGGCCAGGTGTTTTGAAGGAGGACATGGCGTGGAGATTTTATGATTGGTAACATTTTCCATGTAGCCTGTAACATCCTGATCATCTGGACACTGTGCTGTCAGTTGCGTTGTTCTTTCTTGTTGTTAGGTCCAGTCTCACTGGTATCCTCTCAGATGCTCAGATTTGCTCAGTCTTTTCTTGCATATTAAGTACAAAGTAAATCTGGGTGTGTATATGTTTTTAGATGTATATATGGTTTTATAAAATGTATATATGGCTTTATAAATATATGGTTTTATAAAATATGTGTGTATATGGTTTTATAAATCTAAACACTTCCCTGTTCTCTGATAGTGTAGCAAGCTTCTTTGAGATGCATAGTTGGCTGAGTACCTGAAATATTGGCATACCTGCAGTATCTGTATTTACTGTTGATTTGAGCTTCCTGTCAATGTGGCCCCTCAAAGGCAGCAATGATGGCTCACCTAACTGGGTTTCTGCTTACAAGGGAGAGCTGTATTGCATTCCTCCTTTGGCCCAGCCTGGCCCTGCCCAGCCCCACCTCTGCTGCTGCTGCCATCGAGGGATTGAAGCCGAAGATTGTCACTCTCTCCCTTCCTGTCTGTCTGCCTCTCAAGTAGATTTATTTAACATTTTGCCTATAATTTTGACCATGTTTACATGAAGTAATCTTTCGGTCTCTGCACGGACATACACACACATTCACATGCATGCTCACCAAGAGAGAATACTGGCTGTGAGTCACATCTATAACACTTGCCATTTAAAAGTATAATTTTGTGAGTTTTATCATATTCACAAGGCTGTGCAATCATTCCCAGTATCTAATTACATGGTGTTTTTCTGACCCTGGAAACTCTAAGGTCGTTGGCAGTTAAATACCCTCATCTCCAGCCCCTGGCATCACGTTTTCTATATGGTTTTGCCTCTCCTCGACATTTTATATAAATGGGTCAAAAGCTATGTAGCCTTTTCTGTCTGTTTTCTTTATGTGGGATGTTTTCACTGTTTACCCATGCATTAATATTTCATTCTTTTTTATGACCAAATATTCTGCTATATAACCTACCAGTTTTGTCTATTCATCTTTGATCAATGTTCTGCTTGTTTCTATTTTCTGCTATCATATCACTATTATATTCATCTGCATGTTTTTGTGACCATGTATTTTCAATTCTTTGCCATATAGATAGGAGTAAAATTGTTTTATCATATTGTAATTGTACGTTTTTATTTTTTTGAAGGACAATCAAAACTTTTTCGAAACAACTACACTTGTTTAGTATTTAGTTTTTATTACAAAAAGTTTTAGGAGTTGAGGATTCATTTGCTCTTTGATCCTACTCTATGAAATCTTACTCTCCTTTTGTTTTCTATCTTAAGTATGTACACACTTGTATATAAATGTGAGTATAAACATACAAATATTTTCTGAACTTGAAATTAAACCAGATTTACACTGTTCACCCAAGAGGCAGCATAATATGATGGAAAGCCACCAGCATCGGAGGCAGGTTTAGAAAACAGAAGTTCTGTTTCTGGCTCTATATTCAAGGCAGACACTAATCATGTGCATTTTTTCACATTCTTTTTGTATAAATTGAAGCACTCTGATAGCCTATTCTGAAACTACCCAGAGCTTTTCCATTTTCTTTTCTCTTTTTTATTCTTTCCTACTGTCTATCCTTTATCCTTTAAACATTGCTAGTTTAGCATTTCATATTAGCACATATTACGTGTCCCTCCTAGCATAGAACAAAGATACTATTTTCCCATTTATGAGTATAAAAGAGAATATGTTTTCTGGTGATAAGGATAAATTCCACAGGACCATTGTGGTCATTGAAGTAGGGTTGCTGACTAAATAGAGAATAGTATTAGCCCTGATTGTTGTCAGTAATCACTTGGACTTTTCCAATTATAGGAAATCTGTGAGAAAAGAAAAATCAGCAATTTGGTAAGACTAGCTTTTTGTAAGTTAAGATACCTGTTCCCTGAGATTATGCTATTGCAGATGGAGCAGTTTAGGCGCTGCTTGGGATACCCACATTTCCTATCAGAATAGCTGAGTTCCAGCGTGTGCTCTGCTCCTGATGCAGATTCCTACCGGTTCGTACCCCATGAGTCAGCAGGTAATGATTCAGGTCCCACCACACCCTTGGAAATTGGATTTTGGCTTCTGCCTGGCTCAAGGCTCAGCCACCGTCGACATTTGGGGAGCAAACCAGAGGATGGGAGCTCTGTCTCTTTATCTTTCTTTCAAATTGATAAAATAATTGAGTAGAAATCTTTCAAAAAAGAAATTGATTATAGTAAACATGAGTTTCATAAATTGATTATTGCAACATGAGTTTTATGAATCTGTTTTATTGAGTATTCGTTTTTTCACAGAAAATCATGTTCTGAAATGTTTGATACTGTACTTGTTTGTATATTACATATTTAATCTTGAATGCAGGCAGTAAAGATGGATTTTTACATATTTTTGAAAAAATATGTAAAATATGAAGTTATGTAGAGTTGTTAAGCTTATAACTTTAGAGTTTCAGGTATTATGATAGCATTATAGAAGTGGTCATTGTCTCTAGGAACTTTCACCAAAGTTAGGAATGATTTTTAGGCTGTGTTTGTTTCTGGCTGTGTAAATCTGTACTATTGTTCTTACATAAAGCTGTGGTATGAGCTTAGTATTGACAGTCTTTAGAGCATTCATGTTTATGGTTTGCATTTGATTCTCTGTGGATCAGGCATTATGGTACAGTGCACTATTCCATTTAAATGTGAACTGGACATCTTAGCTATGTCTCAGGTATTATTTGGCAGATATTTAACAGGTAGTTTCAACTTTTGATTTGTTTTATTTTGCTACGTTTATTCTAGGTTGGTTCTTACTTGAAATCTCCAAAATTTCCTATTTGGATTGTTGGCAGTGAAACTCATCTCACCGTATTTTTTGCCAAGGTATGCTTATAACAGGATTTGTAAAGTATGAAGTCAGACAAGTCATGAAGTCCATATTTAGTTTGGATCTTCATGAAAACTTAATCAAATCCTAATATGCATTGTTCCAAATTGTAGAAAATTAATAGTCATATATGAAACTGTTTCAATTTTGGAAGCATTTTAGTAAAATGTCATTTAATTGTTTTTACCTTTTCTGACTTGAATGCTTTGACTTTTGATTGTTTTTAGAAATTTCTTACATAATGAGAATAATTTTAAAACTTCAGATTGCTTTCTTATAGGCTAAAAATATGACCTGATATAAAATATGAAAACATTTTGCTATTTATTGGATCAGAGGTATTTCTCTCTTAAAATACTTCCCACATTTTAATGCATATGTGATTATAGTATTGAAATAAATGAGTATTTGAATGTTTATTTCACCATTTTTTTAAAAAACCTATTCCTAAATCTTTGTTTTTTTTTTTTTAAGATTTATTTATTTATTGGAAAGTCAGATATACAGAGAGGAGGAGAGACAGAGAGGAAGATCTTCCATCTGATGATTCACTCCCCAAGTGAACACAACGGCCGATGCTATGCTGATCTGAAGCCAGGAGCCGGGAACTTCTTCCGGGTATCCCACATGGGTGCAGGGTCCCAAGGCTTTGGGCCATCCTTAACTGCTTTCCCAGGCCACAAGCAGGGAGCTGGATGGGAAGTGGAGCTGCCGGGAATAGAACTGGCGGCCATATGGGATCCTGGCATGCAAAGCGAGGACTTTAGCCATTAGGCCATACTGTTGGGCTCTATTTCCAAATCTTAACATTTAATTCTATGTAATGCTTTCCACAACTCTTCTGACAGTCTTTGAGTATCAGTGTTGCCACTTCCTATTATCTCCCTGACTTCTCACATGCCTTTAAAATACAGATTAGTAATGATACCTGGATTCTAGAATTGTTGTAAGGCTTAAATATACAATCTTTAGCAGTGTCTAGGACAAGTTAAATACTCAGTACCTCTTAGTCATTATCATTTTCAGCATAGATTTATTAGACATTTATGATATCATATGTAGATTTGTTGCATATTGGAACAAAGAGGGGAAAATGTAAAATTGGAATTTTGGAATTTCTTAATTCCAATGCCCTTTCCTGATCACTGCATGAGGATTTTAGCTTCTAGGGAGGTGCCAAAGTAAATCTGACTTTTTAGGAATTATGATGTGTGTAAATTGACAATGCTGTTATATGACTGAGTTACTGTATTTGCTTTCAATGTGCTGGTGAAAGACTACTAGTAGGTTTAGGGCAAGGGAAACTTACCTCAAGCAGTGAAAGCTTACAAAGTACAGTTCTAAATGTGTGAATCTTACTGATATATTACATTTAGTGTGAAAGATTTTTGCTGTTTTTTCCCTAAAATGGAATTGAAGATGTTCAGAATGGGAACTGTAGAAATAGAACAACTTCTAATTCCAGAGTGAAAATGTCGTAATGCCATAAATTTTGAGGAGATAAAATTAGTTCCAATTTCTACATAGAATTTATTTCTTAGACAATTGTTCATTGTCCAAATGGAAAAATTAGTAAATGTATATGTATAAAGTAGTAATATAGAAGATAGTAAGATTTTGAATCGCAGGTTTTCAAAATTGGATATAATCCCTTAGCCCACCCTGGCTCTCCCCTAACCCAGCTCACATGCAGGCCAAATGGGTGTTGGAGCAGAGAGGGGTGGGCAGGGCTACAAGTGCCAGCTCTCATGCTCACCAGAAGGAGAAGTGGCCCAGCAGGGGAGCTCCTGCAGCAACTCCTACTGGGCTTATCACTCCCCGTATCAAACCCTGGCTGTAATGTGTGCTGGTGGGTGCTGTCTTTAGTCTACCATGTCTCACCTCAGCACTCACTGGTGTGTGCTGCAGCGTGGCTCAGCCTGGCCTCCCCCAGTTCTAGCTCATGCTGGTAGGTGCTGCAGCCTAGCCCAGCTTAGCCTGCCCCTAGTCCTGGCCCTAATGTGAATTGGCTGAAGTTGCAGCCCAACCCAGCCTGTCCTCTACCCAGTCCTGGTTCTCAGATATGCTAGTGGGTGCTATGAGCTGACCAAATCAGCACACGCATAGATGTGAGCCATCTGTGACAGTGGGTACTGTAACCTGGCTTGGTCTGGGCTGTTCCCAGTCTTGATTCTTGTACTCACCTGCAGGGACTGTGTCTTGACAGAGGAGTTCAAGTTATCTCCCAGTTGCAGATCTCATACATGCTGATGAGTGCTTGGTTCAGTCCGACCTGGCAGGTACAGTGGCTTTGTTTGACCAGCCCATACCTGTTCCAGCTCTTACTGTTAGGTGCTACAGCCCAGTTTGGCCTGGCCCACTCCCAAACCTAGCTTTCACATGGGTCAGCGGATACCAAGACCTAGCCACCTGACTCTCACAAGCAGCAGTGGGTGCTGGAGTGTAGTCCAGTCTGGCACACCTCAGACCTAGTCCACACCCATGCCAAGGGATGCTGTAGCCATGTCTGGCCAGCTCACTGCCTCCGTTTTCATGAATTTCTTAAAAAATAACTTTGGACATAAATAATAATTGTGTTATATTTCAGGCAAGCCAAGACTAGAGTGTTAGGAGTAGATACGCTTAATCTTCAGAGATTTATTCCTGAGATAAAATTAGCAACACTTCATTTTTCATTATTTAAAAGCATTTTTCTTATGACAATCACAAATATGTGCTTCTGTTTATATTGTATATAAACAGAAAAGTATATAGTATATAGTATATAGCCAAAGTATATAGTAGCTAAATATTCACAGATAAAACACATGTATAATCTCATGGCTACCTCTAAAAATGTTCTGCTATCAAGTGATCTTTTTGGCTTCTGTCTTCAAATTTTATCTTGCAAATTTTCCAGAAACAGTTTATATGCAAGACATACAAGGACTCAGGTCGTACATACCATAAAAGTAATGTTATATTGAGCAATTTCATAATTCTAGCATTTTTTTCTACCAGAAAAAATTGACATTTAGATTTCATTTTATTTTACTTTAAGTATATTTAATTTTTCAGTTCTTAGTACTCTTCATACTAACTTCCATAGGAGTGTAGGTTTTTATTCGTATTTCCATAGTAGATAGGAGGCTTGAGCATTTTTTTGTATATCTTTTACCATTTGAATTTGTTCTTTTGAAAAATGTTCATTTTTTCACCTGTTTCTTCACAGGTTTGTTTTGCTGTTGTTGGATTTTTGAACCTCTTTGTATATCCTAGATGTTAGTCTCCTATCAGTTGTGTAATTTCTTCCATTCTGTTGGTTGCTTCAGTACATCTTTCTTAAGATTACTTATACTAACAATTTTTCTGTTTTGTTTTAAAATATTTTTTATTAAGAGAGCTATGTACCATTTAAAAATCTGTCAAAATTTCAGGATGGTTTTCATTTGTTTTACCAAGTTTAAATTCACTAATCTTCGTGTTAATAGTATTATTAAGGGTTTTATTTTTGTTTGTGTCCTTCCACATATGGAAGTAAAAGCAGAGTGATTTGCTCAAGATTACATTTGTGATCATGTTTGTGATAAAAACAAAATAAGATTCATTGACTTCTGAATTAGAAATTTTCCATTGTTCATTAGAAGAAAGACCTGATCAATGAGTGTCACTGATTGAAAATGAGATATAGTCCTTTGGGAGTCAGAATAGTTCTCCATCAAGCAAAGAAAATATTCCTATTAAAATGGAAGCTTGCTGACTCAATCTTTGACTCAAAACCCTCATGACTTTTTTCCAGTAAGAGTGAAACCTAATTCCTTAAAATAGCTTCCAAGTCTCACTTCCTCCCATTCTGTTACTCTGTTCCTCCCTATTGTCTGACTTAGTCACACTTGCCTCAGAACTGGTTCCCTTGTTTAAAATAACTTTATCTCATATGGCAACATATAAAAGATTCTTCCCTTTTTTACTTTGTTATTCACATGTCATTTCCTCAGGGAGTCCTTCCTTGACCATGTTTTCTAAAATCTGAACCATTTTCCCTTCATTTCATTTCCCAGTATTCCTTCTTACAAGTTCTCTCTCTTGCCCTTATCCACCTCTTGATAGGTTTGTGGATAATTTTCTAATTGGAATGAAATTCACATATCTTAAAGCTAATCATCTAAAAATAAACAATCTGGTGGCTTTTGGTACATTTATCATGCGGCACAACTACCACTGTTGTTCCAAGTTTCAAAATGTTTTTTATTACCCCATGTATTGATACCTCATTCACTTTTATGACCGAATGTTATGTCATTGCATGCCATGAAGCACACTTTATCTGTTCTTCAGATAATGAAATCTTGGTAGGTATTCAGATCTTTCCCCGCTTTGACCATTTTGCATAGGTCTGTGAACATTCAGCTACAAATAGTTGTGTGAGAATTTGTTTTCAATTTGTTTTAATATAAATCTAGTAGAATTGCTGGGTTGTCTAATTCTGTGTTGGATATTTTTGAGGAATTATCCAAGTGCTTTCCACAGGAACCAGGCTGTTTTACATTCCTACCAGCAATCTGGAAAGAATCCAGTTTTTATATATTTTTTTGTCAATAGTTTGTGTTTTCTTTTTTTGTTGTTACTGTCATGCTAGTATATGTGTACATTGTGGTTTTGACATAGATTTTTCTAATGATTCATTATGATGAGCGTCATTTCATTCGCTTTCTGGCCATTTGTATATTTTGAGAAATATCCAAGTCCTTGCCATTTTTTTAAAAACAGATTTATTTATTTTTATTGGAAAGGCAGATATACAGAGAGGAGGAGAGACAGAGAGGAAGATCTTCCGTCCGATGTTCACTCCCCAAGTGGCTGCTATGGCTGGAGCTGAGCCAATCTGAAGCCAGGAGCTCCTCCGGGTCTCCCATGCGGGTGCAGGGTCCCAAAGCTTTGGGCCATCTTCAACTGCTTTCCCAGGCCACAAGCAGGGAGCTGGATGGGAAGTGGGGCTGCTGGGATTAGAACCGGC